AATGCCCAATGACATGTAAATCTTCTCCTATTTTATCCTCTAGGAGTTTCATAGTTTTAAATTACACATTTAGGTCATGATTTATTTTTACTTAATTTTCATGAAAGGTTTAGGGTCTGTGTCTAGATTCATTTTTTTGCATGTAAGTGTCAGTTGTTTTAGCACCATTTGTTGAAAAGACTATCCTTTCTCCATTCAGTTGACTTTGCTTGTCTGTCAAAGATCAGTTGACTTTATTTGTGTGGGTCTATTTCTGCACTCTTTTCTATTCCACTGATATATTTGTCTGTAGCACCTTCAAACATAATTTCATGAATTATGTGATTTTTGTGCAAACATAATTTTTCATGGTGGCAAAACCCATTCAAACCCACCAGTATGAAATACACACCTAAATAACTGGAAATATATTAATGTGCTATTTTGTCATATTTATAAAAAGCACTGAGTTTTAGAGAATTCCAGCCATCTTGCAGTACACAAGCCATTCAGTAATGACCATGTAATTACAAGGAGTTTATACTCTAATGACATAAACAGACCACAGATTATTATAATACAGCATACAAATATTACCCACTTGGATGATGGAATATCCAAATACAGCCCTGAAAAATGATGGGAGCTAAACATGTAAAGAAGAAAGAAGGAAGAAGACTAGGGTATAAATGATCTTCAACTTAGGTGTACATTATATCCTAAAAGTGTAGCTCTAAGTTCATTTTAGCTTAGGATGTACTTTCCTTTAGATACTATGCGATAGATAGGTCCCTGTCCTACAAACTCTTATTTAACACTTGATGTGGAATATTTCCGATGTATTGCAACAAAGAAGGTTTTACCATCCACTCTTTCTCCTGTAAAATATGTGAGTGGAGTACTGGGATTCTTATTAGTAAAAGGCATAAGTATAACTCTCTAATCCTTGCTTGCCTTTATTTTCCCTACTGACTAAGTGCTAGGGGATGGAATTGGGGCTTGGAAAAGAGGGAAAGCCAAGAAATACCACTGTAGACTTTGTCATCAGCCAGTCATAGACTGAGGTGAGAAATGGAAATTGTAGCTAGCAGTGAAAAGGGCTTCCCATATGAAGGGTGGTATCAGTAGCTGGAATGAAAGACCTGAAAAGACAAGGGAAAATCCCCTGCAATTGTAGGAAAGAAAAGAGAATTCATTTCATGTCCTTCTGGGTCATCTGACTAATGTTCCTAGGTAATTGAATTTTAAAAGGTGTAAAACACATGTAGTACATGTGCTACTTGTATATCCCTGATGACTCAAGAATTTTCCATTACTGTGAGAGACAGGAGAAGCTAATTTTTTTTAATTCCCTCTTTTGTTCTTTTCAATCCCAGTAGACTTCACCAAAAGCGTCTGTGTGTGTGTATTTTGTTAATTTGATATAAATGTTGAGGCAGTGTACTGAAAAGTGAAAAACATCAGTTCAGTTGTCCATTGCTAACTCTGAAATTAGGAGTACAAGCACTAGAATTTTTCTAAAAATCAGATTCCTCCCTTAGAAGGTATTCTAAAGGGATTTTTGAGAAATTCATGGCTCTTAGTTTATATTTGCTAGATATATTTGTATTCCATGCGTAGTTCTTTGGTTTTGTGTTATAGTCCCTTCTTAATCATTTATACTTGATATTTATTGAAGCTACCAAAAAAATCTATTTATCCTGACCTTGTTATTTTGTTTTATATTTTTAATTTGTCTGTTTTCCATGTAACTCTTGTTATCTGAATTGTATTTTCCTTTGAACTCGTACTGTATAATTCTCAATCTTTGGGATTATAGAAGTGTTTCTCTTAGTATTCACCCTTTTTCCAAGAAATTGGGAAAGGACCTATAGATATTATATATACAGATAATATATCTAATGTGTAGATATATATTAATTATATAATCTATATATATAATGGCTGAAATAACCTTTTGCCACATATACATAAATTATGTGTATTACCAAAGAAAACACATATGTACTAATTGACAAATATACTTTCTTTCGTAAAGCACATACAAAGGAAGCAATAAATTGTACTTCAGGAAAATATAATTTTCCCTACTTTTTATCTGTGGTGTACGTTGGAGTCTGACCTGGATTTGAGTATCAGCTCTCTACTACTTCTACTCTGGTAACCTTGAATAAATATATGTTTCTGTGTGTCTGTTTCTTCATCTTTAAAATGGGGCTAATAACCCGGCTCATAGTGTTATTTGGAGAATTAAATGAGATAATTCAAGTTTTTAAACACTGTTCTCTGGTACCCTATAGAGACATTTAATGGGTCACTTGTATCTATTTCATGTTTAGGGTTCTGCAGAAGATTTGGTTTGAAAAAGAGTCCTGAGAATCTTTGTTTAAAAACATTTGAAAACCATAGCTGTAACTAAAGTGCCTTGTACAGAATAGATGCTGAACAAATATTAGTTCTGTTATGCAGGTTAGAAAGTTTCTCCTTCACTCCTTCATGGGATTCCTTCCCAATCCGTATTTTGAACTACTAGTTTACTTTTGTTTAACTGCTTTATTGAGTTATAATTCAAATATCATACAATTCACCTATTTAAAGTGTACAAATCAATGATATTTAGTGCATTCACAGAGTTATGCAACCACAACCTCAATATAATTTTGGAACATTTCATCATCTCCAGAAGAAACTCCCTACCCATTAGCAATCAAGCTAACTTGCTCTTGGATTGTATTGCCATTGCTTATTAGAAGTAAAAGTTTGGGTAAGTTAATAAATATATCAAGATGAACAAAACAAACCTATCATCTGTAGCTACAGAAATCACAGCTTTGCTTGTGGATACAGACAATAGATTCCATTATGGCATTTAGCATACTTAGTTTTATATATTATATCATGAAATACTTGATTCTTTACATTTTTTCACTTCTAGAAGTTCATTCATGTATTTTCGTGACTTTTAAAGATGACTAATTGATAGAACTATGTCCTGCTCTTAGCTTAGAAATTCAACAAATATTTTGTCAAGTACTCGTTAGGAGCCAAGTGCTATGTTAGACTTATAGGGTTAACTGATGAATTAGATACACTTTGGGGAGTTCAGTGTTTTAGAAGTGTGGCTTGTAAACAAACGAGGGTAATAGAGTGTGATCATTGTTGTTATGGAGAGGGATGTAAAGTGCTGTTGGTACATGTTTAAGGAAGTAATAAATTCTTCCAGCCAAGGAGACTTGGGAGGAGCAAGAAGGGGAAAGAACAGAAACTGAAGAAGGAGCTGCAAGGAAGCTGGTCCTGGAAGAATGAGGAGAGTTCACTGGGCAGGTGATAGAGGAGGAATATATTCTTAAAAAGCTAAGAGAACAACCAGAGTGTAAGCCTAGAAGATTAAAAGCATGTACAGTGTTTAATGAAAAGTCAGTGAATTATTTAATGTGACTAGAGAAAACTGAACGCCACAAATAGTAGTGAAACAGAAAGGTTTGGCTGGAAGAGATTGTGAGGCCTGAAAATCTGCTTAATACCTTATTTTATCCCCTTCCCCCTCTATTCTAGTTCCCCAGGAGTTATCTTTGACTTTTTCACTATTTCGCTTCCCATGTCCAGTCTAGTGTTAGTAATTAGTATCTGTCTCTTCCTTTCTATTCTCACCGCCACTACAGTGTTATCTTTCCTAGGCTCTTTTCTGTTTCTTTGGCCATTTTTAATGTTACATTTTTCCATTCCTGGGACTTCACCTCTTACCTGTTTTGGTATTCCGAGTAGCTTTATACTGTAGCTGAACAGTTCCTGGATCAGGGAGTCTGAAGAATAGGAAGGGCCAAGGAGTTTACAAAGAAAATTCTTGTACTTATTATATCAAGAGCTCACTGGTAAGGAAATTGTCCATGTACTGATATAGAATATATTGTTGAATCAGAAGTATAGTATATTACCTTTTGTGTCAGAAAGCAGAGGGGTATTAGGATAGAAACCCTAAAGTACGTATCTTTAGTAGGTGGGAGAGGACAGGGGTGAGAACAGGTCTCAGTGTATACCTTTTTATGTGGACTTAATTTTTAAGCTAAATATTTCATCTTTTTAGACCTGGCCTTGGATGCCACTGCAGGGGCCTGGTGGGATGAGGGACTCTGATTTCCTGTTGCCTCATATATGCAATCACTCCTTAGTTTGCCATTCAGATTTCTCCACTCTGATTTTGCCTTGGTATTATGATCCCTTTAATTGGAGTGAACTCTATCCATGTCCCCAAATCACTTTCAAACCTCAACTCAAGATTCATCACTGCCTCTTCCACAGTTGGTTAACTGTTTTATTCTACCATCTTAGCTTTATTTATGTTCTATATATTTTGGTGCTTTGTTAGCACCTCTATTCTAATTTATTTCATGAATGGTTTTTATCCCCACTTAGATTGCTAATATTTTCAGTCAAAAGCATGTTCTTTTCTCTCTTCAGGTACCTGATAATGACAGGTTTTACCTTGGAGGATTCTAACATGTTAATTTCATTTGGATAATATTAACAAATTTTAAATTACAAAAGGTGTCATACAGGAAAGCTTAGTTTGTTTACTTTTCCATTATCTAAAACTTTAAAGTATCAAATTGGAAAATTAGTGAAGAAAAAGTTTTATTTAAGAACCATTGAAAATAACATAGAGGCTAACTTTCCAGTAAAGGTGAAAATACGTGGATTTGCACACTAAAAAAGTAAACATGACCAGCTAACATTAATTTGCATGGAATACAATATGATTTTTATGTTAGCTACTAATTAATATAATAATAATTTATTTGATTTTTATCTTTGCTTATATATATATATATAAATTTTTAAGTCAAATGTAAAATTTTTTTTACATTAAGTATATGATCAAAAGAACTTAAAAATAAGTTGTATTAGGAAATGAACATTTGTTTTTAAAACTGATTATAGAAAATAGAAACTTGTAAGCAGAGAAGCCCTTAGTATGTTTTAATTACTTGATGTATTCTAATTTAATATTTATCTTGAAACAGGCAAGAAAACTAGATGTATATTTTGAATATGAAGAAAAAATAATGAGCAAAACTACTCTGGATAAATCTCTTCTAGATATAATATCAGACCCTGATGGTAGGTATCATATACTTAAGGTTAATGTTAGTTTCACATCTCATGTATCCAACATTCTCAATTAGAGTAAAATCTGATTAGAATTATTGTTTTTATGACAATCTATTCTAAAAATGAGATAATTAAATGAACTGTTGAGAAGTTTGTGGCAAGCAGTAAAGTGGAAAAATGATTTGCATTGTATTCCATTGAACTTTTCTTTAATGGTATTTAAGTACTTTTTATATTCATTTACTTAAAGTGATACATTCAAAGCTTAATTTATCTGGTTCTAGGAAGATTTGAAGGTACAACATTCAAAGCAGGTGTCTACATGATATGCTTTCTAATTATTTTGGTTTAACACTAAAAAACTTTAAAAGGTGTATCTAAAACTGAAACCTATTTTAAATATTTAAGAAATTCACTTTAAAGAAACTCTAATCAATCCCTTTATATTTATCTGACTATTTATATATTATATTTTCTTAGAACAAGGCATAACTCTTTGTACTTAGAAAATGTATTCTAATTGTTGCTTTCAATTACAATAATGAGACCTACATAGGGTTCTAGCCTCTAAAATCCTTTAAACTTTAGAGACTTGTTGATCTTTTCAGAATAGTTTTCAGTTCAAATCTCAGCTCTTTTCCAAAGTGAATAAAAAGCATACTGTTCAGCTTATATTTTGCATACAAACTATTCAGCTGAATGGTGATGGTTTTTTTAAAGTTTGTGTATGACTTTCAGACTTTATTCCAAGTTGAAAAGTAATTTTAAAAGTCCAAACTGTAATTAAATATTCTATTTATAAAAACTTCTGAGAAACGATAAGTATTGCTCACACATTTTAAAAGCTAGATTTGTAGTGAGAGCACTGCATTTTGAAGGTATTTGCACTTGACAATGGAAAAAATGTAAAATATATGTCCATCACTTTAGAGCTGTTCCTTGTTATTTACAGTAAGTTTTGAATAAAGTAGATGCAAATAAGTGTGTTGATAAAATTGTAATCAGAACCTTTCTTTTTCCTTTCCCCTTATTTTCTCAGTTTATTTTTAAAGACATTAAGTAGGGCAGAGCAAGATAGGTATTCATGCAAAGTAGAAGTTTGGTGCCACTTCAAACAAGAACAGTATGTTGGAACCTGAGGTAGATGAGAAGGGCATCTATTGCATGGGGTAGATGGAGGGTTGGTAGTCTAACTTGAGGTGTGAAAGTCCAAGTGAAGGGAGCGCAGTATCCACATCTGGGAGTAGTCCAGCATGGGGAAAGGCATCCATGCAGGCGAGGGAATAGGGGCAGAGATGTGATATTTGTTACACACAGCATACTGGTAATATAAGTAAATACATCAGATAATATAAGGGGAGCCAGGTTTCCTGTTGTCAGAGAAGGACATTATAAATATGGGAAGGGAGAAAACTATAAAGAAAACTAATGTTGGATTGGGATTGGAGATACTGGTATGGACTTTATGTTTTCACAATGTCTTTGTCAGAGAAGTAAATATAGATATTTGTGTATATACATATATATATATGTATTCCCAAGCTCTGCTGAGTAGGGCTGGGAGTAACAATACCTTAATAGTAAAGATTTTAACCTATAAATACCATTTACCAGTAGGACTCACTGGAGAATTGGTTGATTCCAGGACTGAGGTAGGAAGAGAAAGTAGAGAATGAGCCTGAAACATTTTGTTGTGTCAGAAAGCAAGGAAAGTAGTCAAAATGTGATGGGCCATGTCAAAAGGACCCAAAGTCAGTTTGAAGAAGCCCCCACAGCCAATTTATGATAATATGAACATCAGAATAAATAATAATAACAGATTAAAACACACTGAATGAAAGAAGGATGCCATGAGTCCGTGCAGATACAGTAAATGAATAAATTGAAATTTTATAGGATAGTTACACAAGTTCAAAGTACCTCCCTATAAAATACTTACTAATTACAAAGGGAGAACAATCAACTTTACAATGGAGAAGCCTGGTAGATCTCTTACTAGGTAATAACAGTGAGCATTATCGGTGATGAGACATACTGAAATGGTACCCCACCTAGTAGGCTGCTATACAAAGAATACAGTATCTTCTTTATAATATTCCTGCAAAAATGTACAATTTGAATCTAATCATGAGGAAATATCAGAAAAGAATTAATTTTAGGATGTTCTACCAAAAAAAAATGTTAGCCTATAATCTTCAAAAACATCAAGACTGAGGAACTGTTTCATACAGAAGACAACTACAGATGTAAGGTCTGATAACTCTGCTCCTCATGATTCTGAAATTGGTCCTTTTGCCATGAAGGATGTTATAGAGACAACTGGTGAAACTTGAAATGGCACCTGAGGATTAGATAATAGTAATGTTATCAGGGCTAATTTCCTGACTTACTTTATTTGTTATATTGAGTTTATATTGGAGAACATCTTTGACATTTGAGAGTGATAGGACAGCAGGTCAGCAGCTTACTCTCGAATTATTCAGGAGGAAAAAATCTCCCTGAATTATACCCAAAACTCTTCTCTAAGGTATATCTCATTATTCAGTAAGGAAACTCTGACTTTAAAATAGAGAGCAGTTACAGTAAACACTTACGTGTGACAAGCGGATCCAGACTGTAGCCACAGGCTCTAGAGTACCAGAAGTTTTAATGGATTCACTTTTACAATTTGTTAGATTCCCCTGTGATTAGTCATATGTATAAGGATGCTGTCCAGCCCCTACCATCACATGCCTCTTAAAAACCTTAGCAGAAGTTTTGGGGAGCATTTATTAACATGGTAGCAACTATAAAATGTGTTCCTCCTTGAAGAAGAGTGAGAACTATTCTTTAAGCAGAATAAGTGCCTACTATTAGAAAAGGCTGTGTTAGTTGCTGAGATACTAAAAGTAAAAGCAGGGATCCATGTGCCCCTAAAACTGAGGGAGGGAAGAGGCTCATGGTCCCAAGAGCCTACAGCAAGCCCCATTGCTCTTTTCCTCTCTTTGTTCTCCAGCTGCTAAGCCGTAGGTGCAGGAAATGCACAATGGAAAAGGTAACTTAGCCAAAGCTTTCTGGCTGAAGCACCAGTAAGGGAGAGCTAAGGGAACTGGAAAGTAAGGAGACTAAAGAGAGGAAGGGGCTCAGGAAAGCAACTCCGTGAAGTTGTTACGAATGCCTGGGTTGACCCCTGAACTGCTCATACATGAATCCAATCTAAGACAGCATTACAAAGGCTGGGAGGTGAAAAGCCAGACAACCTCCCAGTTCCCATGTTGGCTGTGGGCAGTGGGACAAAGCCCAGTAGCCCTGCAAAAGGTTTTGAAAATAGAATTTATAATGGAACCACCACCCACAGAAACTGACAGCTCTGGTAGGAACTCTGGCCTGAACCAAACCAGGCTAATTCCTTGCTAAAACAAAACTATCATGTTTCTCCTAGAATCTAAACAAGACCCTGAATCTCATAATCTAGTATTCAAAACTTCCAAGATACAAAATTTATTTGTATACTTGAGAACTTTGGAGAACCTATCACTGGTCTTTATTACCATTTTTTGTCATAATGCAGGAGTTAGGATAATTTGAGAATGGGTATCTGGATTCTAAACCATATTTGAAAAAATCAACGGTTCATCAGTCATGTTTTGAAAAATTCCTCCTAGTTCTTATTCCATAATAAAGTATAACAATTCTGAGTTCTTGAGTATTAGGATGCACTTTGAAGTGAGAATGCATGTTGTTATTTTTGCATAGTGAAACTGAATTATCCTGACCAGTGCTTTATCATTTTGCTCTAAAATATACCCAGTAGCAGAAAAGAGAATTAGTGAGTTTCTCTGGACAGTTTTAGGCTTTGGATAATAGGACTAGTACCTCAGAGCATCCATGCAAGCAAGAAATTTCTTTGAAATCTTATGTTTTGTCTTTAAATTTCAGGTGTATATGTTCTGCATAATTCAGCCATGTTTATTTAATATAAATTTATTATTTTCCCAAGTCTTGTAAGTAATATAATAAATACCCTTCAGAAAAAGGAGATATATATATATTCATTGACCCCAGTTTTAAGAAGTATGACCTTAGGCTCAGCTAGCTGATTTTAGCCAACAAGGTTTCATAACCCAATACCTAGGATTTTCCAGGTATTGGGAAATCCAACTGGTTTTCCAGGACAATCCTATTTTTATACCAGTTGTTCTTATATAATTATTACTAGCATCCCCTTTTCATCTCAAAAGTGTTGTGTTTCAGAATTGTATGATTACCCTACTTAAACCTTTCTTCCTTTTTGAATTTATATCTAAAAGGTAAACCTCAACATTATGGACAGTTCAAGAGATGGGGATAACTTCCATGGCCCATCCCTTTAATCCCACAGCATTTAATCTTTTTCCATATCTGTATTTTACATGGTTGTAATTATAGTACCTAAAACTTTAAACTGATTCAATCAAGAGCCATATTTTGTCTTGTCATATTTATATATACTTCTTAAGTGCCAACTATAATATTTAACCTCAGAATTATGAGTTGTTGTTGTTGTTTCTTTTATCTATTTTCCCTATGTAGCAGGAACTCCAGAAGATAAAATGAGGCTGTTTCTTATCTATTATATAAGCACACAGCAAGCACCTTCTGAGGTATGTCCTCTGTATTCCATTATTGGAGAAAGGGGGAATACTTGTTTGTTTTAAAAATAAAAGTAAAAATCAAGTGTGGCTAGATAAGTACTTCATTCCTTTCTTTAAAAGAAAAACAAGTTGTTAAGGCTGATTCTATTTACTGCTGAGTTTTAGAGCAGTATTGTCACCAAGAGCTCTCCACTCATGAAATGTCTGACCAATTTTAAGTTATTGGAATATGAACTGAATTCAAGAGGTCAAAATTCTTATTTCTGGAAAACTTAATTTCAAGTTAACCAAATTTGCTATCTTTTTTGAGAGGTTGTTCTTATTTCTGGAGATGTTATGATCTTAAAAGTTACATTTCTTTAAGCAAAAGCCATTAATACTTGCCTTCCAAGGAATTTATCTTTAACCTAAAGTAAAAATTTGGTAATATTTTAAGATTACTTTTAAACTGCCCATTATAGAAATAAAGAAGTCACTTGGAGGAAAAATACCCAAAAACTATTCCAAAAACTATGTAAATATTGTAATTTAATTTAATAAGATTAAACTTCAAATTCATATCTGTGCTATGATTCATATAGAAATAAAGTTCAGAAACTGTATTGCAATAAAATAACTGCTTTTATATCAATAAATTTCTAAGAATGATTAGAAAATGATAAATTTTCCTTTCTACAAAATTTTTTTTTCTCACTGGGAGAGGAAATTGTGGTTAATTTTGTTTTCTTTTTCTTTAATGAGCTATCAATTACTGATGAGGAAAAAGATGTTTGAGTATTTATAGGTATCGAAGTACGGTGAAGGAAAGCGATGATGTTGTTATGTATTGATGACTTAAGAATCTGTTAAGTCTTTCTGATGTTAACCCAGTTTAATTTCACTGGATGAGCAATAAGCATAAGAACCTCGGAGATGACATCTAGAATGATAAGGCCGTCCTGTGTTCTCAACTCCTTTCTTTTGATGGTATCATTTATTTTTTAATGTCTGGTGGAGTGTAAGGCTTTTTTCGTCAAAAATCTTTGGCATGTTAAAAGAACTAACCCTGATATTTGCTTTAGGCCAAATCTGCTTTGTCTTAGGAATACATTCTTGACTTTTATTTTATCTCAGTAAGAAAGTGTGATTTTCTTTATAGAAATATCTCTCTTATTAATGGGGTTGTGTCATTAGGGGATTCTAATAGCCTACTTATGATTATTTTTATAATATGTGATTTTAAAATTTAATTCAGTATTCCCTTAATTTGGTCACATTATTCTGTTTTCATTTATTTTTGGTAAGGACTATGTGTTTTCTTAAGTTTAAGTGATCATTAAGAAGCTTGAAGCAAATTAGGCTACTGATGTCAGATTAACAACCCCAAAATGCAGTTTAGTAAACATCTCTAGTTGAAGGTGAGCTTAAAGGTTTCTCTCTTGTAAAGTTTTTGTAATGGAGTCACTTTAATGATAGGCCCCTGCAAATTACACAAATTCAGCTAGACTGATCAGAAAATGAACAAGAAAGAGAAGACAGCAGTTTAAAACATGTAAGATACCTGCTGTTCAATTAAAGAATTTGGACCTCTGGTGTGAATGTTTAATAGGAAAACCTGAATCTGCATTTCCCCTCAGTCTGCGCCGTTCCCCTTGTGTTTCTGGCTTTGAAATATCCTTGGTCAAGCCAAATCTTTCAGTTAATGCTTGTCCCAAGGAAAGGTAATCTAGTTCAATAGTGGAGAAAAAAACACTCTTTTAGACTTACTGAGGGATGACAAAATACTGTCCTTCATAGGTGTTTGGGAGCCTGTCAAGGTAATTGTTACTACATGTGATTTAGTTTCTCAGGTGCTCACTTGGATATTTACTCAAGATATGAGTCCATTCTAATTAGGTGTCTAGAATTTAAACTCATGCCTTTGGTCTAACTTTCTGATTAATCAAATGACAACAGAAGGGCTTCTCTTTCATGAAAGTAAAATTTTTTATTATATCGTTCTTCACTTATTTCAGGCTGATTTGGAGCAATACAAAAAAGCTTTTAACTGATGAATAAATAATGTACAACATCATTTTATTATGAAAAAATAATGTACAATACTATTCTAGATTGGTTCAATAAATATTTCCTTTGTCTCTGTGCCTAGGGACATTGGAAATACTTCTAGACATTGGAAATACAACAGTGAACATGCTATGGAAGGCCCCTACTCTCATGGAATTTACATTTTTGTTAAGAGAACAATAAATCAACAAATAAGCAAACAAATGAACAGAACACTTTAAAAATATGTCGAGTAACAAAACAGAACAGTGATAAGATCTTAACTTACTGGACGGTGATAGCTAAATTTTTTAGGAGATCAGGGAGAGCCTCTGGATAAATGATAGTTGTATCAAAGCTTAAATGACATTTTTTGGCAGTATGATCCTTACCGTCTCTCCATTTATCCATCTATCTGTGTATGTGTATGTGTATGAAGGTACACATACATATACATTTATATATAATTGCATAGCAGAAATGACACACACCTAAATGTTAATAGTAGATAACTCTGGTAGAATTTTTTTCTTTTCGAGTGCTTATCTTATTTTCCAAATTTTTTACATTACCCTCAAAATGTTTCTTATAATAAGTAATTATTTTAAGACGATAAGATTGAATATGCTTTCTGAGCTCAACTGTATTAAAAAATATGTATAGCAAAAGAAATATGCTATTAGCTTTGAGTTCATGAGAGCTTATTATCTATACTTTTGATTGTTTTTTCCAAATGTCCTTCTATTTGACTGTTCTTGTAATAAGAAAAAAGTAGAGAACCTTTGTTTAAAAAAGAGAAACTGAAAACGCTCTTTTCCAATCTTTATATATATGTACACTTACACATTTGGATGTGTGGCATTTTTCATGTGTTTTACAGACATCCTTTCATACAGTTACAAATATATACTTTTTATTTCCAATTATAAGTGTTACACCAGTATACTGACAAAAATTATAGAAAACTCAGAAAGGTATAAAGAAAGTAGAAACCTGTAATCCCGTCATCCAGAGTCAATAAGTAAACAGTAGTGTGTATCCTTTTATTTGCATATTATATATATATATATATATTTTTTAGCTGGGAAGCCCTTATTATAGATACAGTTTATATTCCAGTTTTCTGATAGCATTCATCATTCCAGTTTTTGTTTCAAATAATCTCCAATATTATGTAATATTCAGCCATATAAATGTACTATTATTTATTTAAGTCCTCTTTATTGTTTAGATACAGTTGTTTCTAGTGAAAAATAAGTTTTGTTAAAGGCAGGAATTACAGTCTCTTGCTGACAACAGTTGATTCACATGCTCCTTTCTGAACAAGATTGTGATCTCTGTGTTTGGATTTTCTTTGATGGTATTATCAGTGGATTTTGACCAGATTGAAATAGAGTATTTTTAGCATTTTAACTATCACATCCTTGTGATTTGCTTTCTTTTTTTACTCTCATAAGATTTTCTTGCATTTAAGTAGAATTTTTTCCCTTTTACAAAAGCATTTGAATAATTAAGAATCATTATAAAAGAATATTGATTGATTATTTATGGTATGCTATTAAAATATAGAATAGTATGTACAATGTGATAGTTTATTTTTTAATATTTTATGTATGCGTATGTCCAAAAATTAGAAAAATATACATCAAAATACTAACAGTGGTTACCTCAAAGGGGTAGGGTTCTTCTGGGAGTATTCTGTTTTCTGGATTCTCTACATGGATAATATTCACAGAAGGAAAATATTTGTTAAGCACATCTAAGCACCATCTTTTTTGCCTAGCCTTCAGGAATGCTCTAGTTTAGTCAAAGAGGTTCTGGACATTAGAAAGACTTGAAAGTAAATGACCATATGCAATTAAGTATAAAAGTGTATGGTATAGAATATTACTAAAAAGAAAAACCATTGGGTGGTAGAATTAGTGTTAATGAAAAAATGGTTTTGAGCTGAGTCTGAAGAGGAAAAGTACAATGTGTTGCAGAAGAAGGCAGTGAGTTTATTCCCTCTCCACCCTCTGTGAAAGGGCGACGCGAGCTGAGGCCTGTGTCTTGGAATGAGTGGGTGTGGAACATGGGGGACAACAGAGACCACACTTAACCAGTGCATGCATGATTATTCTTCTTGGCAGCAAGTAAGATACTTTTTAAAAAAGGGAAGAAGAAAAATGGTAAAGTTTGAGAAATTAATGCATTTTTTTTTAATCTCAGTGTTTCAGTACTAATTGTACTGTACTTGAGTATTATTTTACATGGTTCCAAGTTATATAATCAGTGCTCAATTATTTCAGTGCTAATTGTACTAAAATATATTAATTGAAAATTTCTCAGAAAATTCTGCATAGTAAAAGTTACATTTAGTCAATAAATATTTTAATTCCATGATAATGAATGTTAGCTCTAAAAATCAGCTTTTAAATATAACTTTTTTATTTCATAGGGCTTTTGCCAAGATGGCCTCAGCTCCTGCCAGTTATGGCAACACTACCGCCAAACCAATGGGGTAAATATTTTTAATAATTCTGACTGAGTAAAGTCTGATACTCCAGACCATAATTAATCATTCATGACTTCAAAACACACTGACACTTGAAATGCAGAATGTTTCCAGTACAGAATGAATGTCAGCATGCCTTTGGCTTCTTTAGATAGTTTAACTTCTCATTTTAAAATGTAAGTTAGTATATTTTACATGGTATGAGCTATTGGATTCTTTTGCTTCCTTGTTCTTAAAACATTACACTTTTCATTTCATAAGATATGTGGTTAAATCTATTTTTATATCGATGTTGATTACTAATACAGGCTCGAAGGTAAGTACTGAAGACCCAGCTTCAAGATAGACCCAGGCATCCTGCTGAGTGACAGGGAGGAAGTCCCCAGGGCTGGGTGTGACTTCTGACTCCAGAGAATCCTATAGAGTATGCATAATTTTCTAAGAAAGTGACCAAGGTAATTCTAACTACTCTTTTCCATACCATATTAGTTTCAATTTCCTAGCTTATGTTTTATAGTTTAGAGCAAAAGCATGAAGCCCAGAGGAAAAACAATTATCCTAGCCTCACCCTGAGCGTCCAGATTTAATGAAACAATTTCCAAAAAAAAAGCACTCAGCCTAAGGCATGTAGGACCCTGTACTTGGCAAGATGAATCCAGGTGGCCTCACTTTCAGATAGGCTATGCAGAGTTGCCTGATGCCAGGGGATTGCCTCAGAACCATTCATTCCAACAAAGATTATTTTTCTCTTGTTCCTGTTAAAGAAAGGATTTCTATCTGTTCATCTCAAGAGAGAGAAAAGGAAACTATATTTGGGAAACTACTCTCATGTATTAGATAGACTTTTCAGTTTCATATCTTAAATCTTGTTGAATATTAAAAGATTTGGTATGAATTTTGTACTTGAGGATTTTAATAGACTGTGTTATAAGAAAATCTTGGATGATTTGAAGGATGTCACTAGCCTTATGATGCCATAATAGAGGGCACCATTCTGTCCACAAAGCATCCTTTGATCCCAAGAGAGACTGAACCACAAGGTAAACCCAGTATGGCAAGTCATTTCTTGATAGTATTTTTGTAGTTCAGATAATGAACATTATTCAGAATTGAAGTAAAACTCACCAGGTACATTGTTGCATCATATTTTTATATGACAGGTGTTATATATAGTGGGGAGATAGTATACAATGCAGGATTGGATCTAGCTGCTGTGATACAGAGAACATAGTAAGTTTTGACCTACTCAGAATCCTTATAGCATATATATTTTCAATAACTAGTGTGTTTTTAATTCCTAAAGCAAATTCTAAATTTACTATCTTTATCGTTTTAGTGTTAGGACAATCAGGAGAGCAAGGAATTCTCTTCAAATTATAATTTGCCAAAAAATTAACAGACATACTTGGGAGATACTACAGGTGTGGTTCCAGACCACCACAATAAAGCTTATATCACAATAAAGCCAGTCAAATAAATTTTTGTTTCCCAGTGCATATAAAAGTTAAAATTCTATCGTCTATTAAGTGTGCAATAGCATTGTCAAAAAAAAAAATACATCTCAATTAAAAATATTTTATTCCTTAAAAATGCTAACCGTCAGCTGAGGTTTCAGCAGTTTTGCTGGTGAAGGGTCTTATCTCCATGTTGATGGCTGTTGACTGATCAGGGTCATATGTGCTGAAGGCTGGGGTGGCTGTGGAAATTTCTTGAAATAAGACAACAGTGAAGCTGGCCACATGACTGACTCTTCCTTTCACAAATGATTTCTCCATAGCATGTGATGCTATTAAACAGCATTTTGTAGTAGAACAACTTTCAAAAATTAGTCAGTCCCCTCAAACCCTGCTGCTGCTTTATCAACTACGGGTACTGTTCTCAATCCTTTGTTATCATTTCAACAATCTTCACAGCATCTTCACCAGAAGTAGATTCCATCTCAAGAAACCACTTTCCTTGCTCATGAGGTACAAAGCAATTCCTCATTCTCTCAAGTTTTATCGTGAGGTTGCAGCCATTCAATCACATCTTCAGGCTCTACTTCTGATTCTTGTTCTCATGCTGTTAATACCAAATATGCAGTAACTTCCTCCACTAAAGTCTTGAAATCCTCAGTCATCCATGAGGGTTGGAATCAACTTCTTCCAAACTCCCATTCTTGTTGATATTTGGACCTCTTTCCATAAATCACAAATGTTCTTAATGGCATCTAAAATGATGAATCCTTTCCAGAAGGTTTTCTGTTTATTTTGCCCATATCCATCAAAGGAATCACTATCTGTAGCAGCTAGAGCCTTACAAAATGTATTTCTTAAAATAAAAAGACTTGCGAGTCAGAATGACTTCTTGATCCATGGGTTGCAGAATGGATATTATGTTAGCAGGCATGAAAACAACAGTCATCTCACTGTCCATCTGCATCAGAGCTCTTGGGTAGCAGGTGCATTTTCAATGAGCAGTCCTATTTTGAAAGGAATCTTGTTTTCTGAGCAGTAGCTCTCAACAGTGGTATTAAAGTATTTGTAAACTATGTTGTAAACAGATGTGCTACCATCCAGGCTTTGTTGTTCCATTTATAGAGCACACACAGAGTAAACCAAACATAATTCCTACGGGCCCAAGAATTTTCAGAATAGTAAACGAAACATTGGCTTCAACTTAAAGTCATCAGCTTGCATTAGCCCCTAACAAGATAGTTAGTCTGTACTTTGAAGCTTTGAAGCCAGGCTCTTCTGCTCTCTAGCTATGAGAGTCCTAGATGGCATCTTCTTCCAATAAAAGAGTGTTTTGTCTACATTGAAAATTTGTTGTTTAATATAGCCATCTTCATTAATCATCTTAGCTAGATCTTCCGGAATACTAGGTGTGGCTTCTGTATCAGCATTGCTACTTCACCTTGAACTTTTATGTTAGGGAGACAGCTTCTTCCTTAAACCTGATGAACCAACCTCTGCTAGCTTCAAGTTTCTCCAGCAGCTTCCTCACCTCTCTCAGCCTTCATAGAATTAAAGAGAGTTAAGACCTTGTTCAGATTAGGCTTTGGTTTAGGGAATGTTGTAGCTGTTTTGTTCTTTTATCCAAACCATTAAAACTTTCTCCATATCAACAATAAGGCTGTTTTGCTTACTTATTATTCATGTGTTACTGGAGTTGCACTTCTAATTTCCTTCAAGAGCTTTTCCTTTGCTTTCACAACTTGGCTCACTGTCACAAGGGGCCTAGTTTGGGGCCTGTCTCAGCTTTCAACATGCCTTCCTCACTACACTTTGATCATTTCTGGCTTTAATTTAAAGTGAGATGCTTGCAACTCTTCCTTTCACTTGAATTTGGACACTTAGAGGCCACTGTAGCGGTATTTATCGGCCTAATTTCAGTATTATTGTGTCTCAGGGAGTCGGGAGCCCTGAGCGGGGAGAGATGGAGGATTTTTTTTCTTCTGCTGTTCAGCTTGAGTGCTTTCCATTACTCTCTTCGATGTCACTGATTGATTCTTCTGAGTCCTCCAGTCTGCTGTTGATACTCTCTAGTGTATTTTTTATTTCATTTATGCTATTCTTCATCTCTGACTGGTTCTTTTTAGATACTCTATTTTTCTGTTTTAAGTCCTCTCTGAGCTTATCCGTTCTCCTCTCATCTAGTGAGCATCTGTATAACCATCACTTTGAACTCTTTATCAGGTAGATCAGTTAACTCCATTTTGTGGAATTTTTGTTTTGTTTTGTTCCCTGAAGTTTTGTCTTGTTCTGTTGTTTGGAGCATATCTCTCTGTCTTCTCATTTTGTTTGACTTTCTGTGCTTGATTATACAAATTAGTTGAAAGGCCTGCTTCTCCGGTCTTGAAGGATTGGCCTAATGTGGAAGATCCCCTGGGTAAACTGTAAGTGCCTGGTGGTTTTGGCTAGATGAAGGCCAAGTGAGCATAAGAGGGGTGTTTTCTGGGTCCAGGACTCTCAGGGCTTCGGCTGTGGGTCTCTTATGTGTTTGCCAGCTGGGGCCATGCTGGCTGGGTGATCTGTGTCAAAAGGGTGCAGTCCAGGGAGCTCCCAGGGGGACAATGGGCTGGGCCCTCTCTACTGGAGCCACTGGGACTAGAGGGAACTGTCTGGGGGTCTCCTGGGCAGGTACCAGTCAGGGCCATGCTGATGGGCCTGCTGAGGTGGATGGATGCAGGCTAGGAGTCTTCCAGGTTGGCACCTGGCTGGGGTCATGCAGACTGGACAGCCTGGGATGGAAGGGGCATGGCCAGGGTGAATCCACGTGAGCATTGTACTGGTGCCACCTTGGTGGGACAGCTAGGTCCCTGACTGGCTTGTCTGGATGTGGGCAGGGCCTAGAAAGCCACGTCTCTTGTGTTTGGAGCTGGTGTGTTCACTCTGACCCTGCTCTTGTCCACACTGTCATTTTGCGTGTGGAATGTAAGCTGGTGCTTACCCTGTTCCAGTCCCCACTAGAAACATGCAGGGGTAACGTAAATGATGTAGCTCTCCCTGTCCCCATCTGTATTAACAGTGTGTGTGGCGGGGGCAAGGGGAGGACACTTACACTGGCACAGACTAGCTCTTCTTGTCCAAAAAGAGTTCCAGAAGTTCCCCTGCTTTTTGGAAATTGAGTTTAAACCCTCCACAACTTTTGTGGGGGTTTTTTCTGTCCCTCAGGGCAGGCAAGTTTTGTTGAGGTAGCTTGGTGATATCCTTCCTACTACAGGGCCGTGCTGGGAGTGGGGTTCCCTGTGTGGCCATGTCTGGCTCTCCTGCTGTTCCTTGTGTGGTCTTCTTCATCCCTTGTTGTGCAGGTGTTCACTCAGGCCTGTTCTTGCTTGAACTGTAGGTGGAGAAGATGGGCTCAGGCTGCTGTCTTGGATCTGCCTCCTTAATTTCAATAGTGTGTGTCTCAGGGAGTGAGGAGGCAAGCAGGGCATCAGCTGGTAGGTAGAGCATACCGGTCAGTGGAGTCAGAACACATGCAATATTTATTGATGGAGTTTGCCATCTTCTCTGGTCGCAGTTCCTGGCATTCCAATACAATTACAATAGTAACACCAAAGATTACTGATTTCAGGTGTTTATAACAAATATAATAGTGATGAAAAGGGTTAAAATATTGTGAGAATTACTGAAGTGTGATACATTAAGTGAGAAAATGCTGTTGGAAAAAAATATCACTAATATACTTGCTTGACAGGGTTTCCATTTATTTTTAAATAAAGCAAGTAAATAAAATGAGGTATAAATAAACAAAGCATAATAAAATGAGGTATGCCTGAATAGTTGAAGGTAAGCAATTGAAATGTTTATTTTGAGGGCAGCCTTTATTTCGTATTTTATTAATAACTATTGCCTAGGCAGAGTGTTTTATTACTATTTTACTGTTAAATAAAGTTGCATCAGTGATACCTGGAAGCAGAAATTCTCAGGTCACTTCTACTTAGTTAAAACAGAGGTAGTAGCTACACTGAGCATCAGCATGTGGTGTAAGATCAGGCAAATACTTTATCTGTAACAAATCAGAGAGAGAATTTATACTTAGTGTGATCCTCTTCTTTTTCCCTTAGTCTCTTATCAAGAGTCATGAACACGGGATCACAGTTTGTGATGGAAGGAGTGAAGAACCTGGTGTTGAAACAGCAAGTAAGTAGCTTGTTAGAAAACACACTGGTAACTTTTGAACATAAATGGTGACAGGTTGATTGCTCAGATAGAGCAATTTTATAAATGTTTTCAAGTTATAAATATTAGCAAAATAAAATCAAGGCTTTTTTTTTTGGTATATTTAAGAATAGGGTATTTTTACATGCATAGTTCAGAGCTCTGTAATTTTTCCTTTTTTCTTTTTTAAATTTGCTCTCTTGGACTTCACTGGACTTCACTGATATTTTGACTTTCCTTTACGATCAGGTTTATGAAAGTACATTAATTTAAAAATTAAACTTAAACCTATTTAGAATAATGAACTGTGTTACATAATGCGTAGGATTTAAGTTTTAACTTATATTAAGTGAATAGGCTACTGAACTTAACTGTCTAAAGGCCATTGTAAATTAGAACATAAACACTTCTAATAAATTTTATTAAAAATAAATTCTTAATAATTAGAAATAAAATACTTTAAGGTAGAACTTATTTTTGGGGTAATAAATCCTTGAACTCACACTTCATTGTGGTATAACAGTGTTATACATAGGGCTTTTTTAATGAATTTTGTTTTTCTGTTAATAGTCTGCTTCAGAGAATCATCATAATTTAGTTTCCTTTCAAATGAGATTTGTTTATTGCTTTTTATCATGGAAATTTCCAAATGTACACTAACATACCAAATTTTCCTGAACCCTTCACCAAGATTCAGTACGCAGCATCCTGTCATCATCCTCCATCTTCCCCACTTCTTTTTTTTTTCCTTTTTACTGGGATATTTCAGTTTGTAGTGAGAAGAATTTTAAAGGCCAAATTAAGAAAAGAGATGGAGTTTATCAGTTATTCAGATGTGAATTTTAAGTGTTTAGTTACTTGCTCAGAAACAATTAGATCTTTTCTTTCTCAGAACTTCTGTGCTTTTCTATTTCTTACAGGTGTGGTATTTTGTATTGTTATTTATTTTTGTTTTACCTCTCTTTTTCCCTCTCCCCCAGCCCCTCAGTTTTACTGAGAATGAGTTGACATATAATGTTTTACTTTGTGATGATAAGTTCCTTGAGGGCAAGGAATTTTTTTTCCTCATCTTTGAAATTTCCATAGCACTTTGCATAAAGTAGGTATTCAGTTCTTTATTTGAATAAATGAATACATTTTACTATAAAAACTATGTAGTATTAATGAAGTACAGTGAAAAATCCTAATTTGCTGTATTTTATTAAGACTACTTACTTTCCCAACTTTCCTTCAAATGTACTCCAGATTGCATTATTTCCTAAGTATTTGGGGATGTTTTTTAGCTTCATAATCTGTCTTAGAATTATTTTCAATTCCTCTCATTCTGCCTCTCTCCTGGTGAGAAGCTACTACTAAATACTTAACTCACTTTTTTACTGGTTCACAGCACTTCCTTGAATCACTTTATCGTCATCTCTTGGACTGCAAAAGGTAAAAAGGCACAAAAATAGGAAGTTGGGTGTTTTAGAGACCAGCATACTGTACTCTAGAGTTTAACCTAGCACCTGCTAAAGAAAAAATTACTTATGACACATGTTGCAGAAAGGTAAGGCAGACATTATTCACGGAGACCATCGTGAAAGGTATTGGGACCACTGCCACAATGGGGTTTTCCAGTGGAAAGATTGGGCTCAATTCCAGATACATCAAGGGCAAGTAGGAATTTATAGCCAAGGATCAGGGTAGGTGTCAGTGGCTAGAAAATTACTAAAAGGAAAGGTAAGGGAGATAAGGAATGAAGGCAAGTTCTGGCTAAACCAGCCTAACAGCATTCCTTTTTTTTTTTTTCTGTTTACTATCATTTTTTATTCCAAATTGCATCAGTTCATGAAAAACAAGTTGTTTACAAAAGACCTGGTCTACAACTCTAATAGAAAAATAATACACATCAGATTATATAAATGTATATTTTTCATCAAACTATTAAAATGGCTACAAGTAACAGAAATGTTTACAGATGAGATTATGCTTATGTTCTTGTTCATGCCAGTATTTTGGAAAAGGTTAAGTGGTCTGTCTGACATTCTATCATCTACATTTCAGTAAGCTACTGTATTCACAGTAACTGATGTTTCTGATTTGAGTGTTTTGAAAGATCCCCAAATGTCTTTTAGAGAAAGATGAAATTGTGTCTCACAACTTTTTTTTTTCTTTTGTTGCCTGTGCTTTTTTTATTATTATTTTTAAGGTATCATTGATATAGTCATATGAGCACCATTGTAGGTACTAGATTCCCCCCTTATCAAGTCCCTACCACATACCCCATTATAATCACTGTCCATCAGCATAGTAAGATGCTATAAAGTCACTACTTGTCTTTGTGCTGTGCTGCCTTCCCTGTGCACCCTCCCTATATAATGTGTGCTAATCATAATGCCCCTTTTCCCCTCTTATACCTCCCTTCCCACCCACCCTCCCCAGTCCCTTTCCCTTTGGTAACTATTAGTCCATTCTTGGGTTCTGTGAGTCTGCTGCTGTTTCGTTCCTTCAGTTTTTGCTTTGTTGTTATACTCCACAGGTGAGTGAAATCATTTGATACTTGTCTTTCTCTGCCTGGCTTATTTCACTGAGCATAATACCCTCTATCTCCATCCATGTTGTTGCAAATGGTAGGATTTGTTTTCTTCTCATGGCTAAATAATATTCCTTTGTATATATGTACCACATCTTCTTTATCCATTCATCTACTGATGGACACTTAGGTTGCTTCCATTTCTTGGCTATTGTAAATAGTGCTGAGATAAACATGGGGGTGTATATGTCTTTTTGAATCTGGGAACCTGCATTCTTAGGGTAAATTCCTAGGAGTGGAATTCCTGAGTCAAATGATATTTCTATTTTTAGTTTTTTGAGGAACCTCCATATTGCTTTCCACAATGGTTGAACTAATTTACATTCCCACCAGCAGTGTAGGAGGCTTCCCCTTTCTCCACAACCTTGCCAGCATTTTTGTTGTAGTTTGTCTTTTGGATGTTGGCCATCCTAAGTGGTGTGAGGTGATATTTCATTGTGGTTTTAATTGGCATTTCTCTGATGACTAGCGATGTGGAGCATCTTTTCATGTGTCTGTTGGCCATCTGAATTTCTTCTTTGGAGAAGTGTCTGTTCAGATCCTCTGCCCATTTTTTAACTGGATTATTTGCTTTTTGTTTCTTGAGGCATGTGAGTTCTTTATATATTTTGGATGTTAACCCCTTGTCAGATATGTCATTTACAAATATATTCTCCCATACTGTAGGATGCCTTTTTGTTCTGTTGATGGTGTTCCTTGCTGTACAGAAGCTTTCAGCTTGATATAGTCCCACTTGTTCATTTTTGTTTTTGTTTCCCTTGCCCAGGGAGATATGTTCATGAAGAAGTTGTTCATGTTTATATTGAAGAGATTTTTGCCTATATTTTCTTCTTAGAGTTTTATGGTTTCATGACTTACATTCAGGTCTTTGATCCATTTCAAGTTTACTTTTGTGTATGGAGTTCGACAGTAATCCAGTTTCATTATGTTACGTGTAGCTGTCCAGTTTTGCCAACACCAGCTGTTGAAGAGGCTGTCATTTTCCCATTGTATATCCATGGCTCCTTTATCATATATTAATTGACCATATAGGCTTGGGTTAATATCTGGGCTTTCTGTTCTGTTCCACTGGTCTATGGGTCTGTTCTTGTGCCAGTACCAAATTGTCTTGATTACTATGGCTTTGTAGTAGAGCTTGAAGTCAGGGAGCATAATTCCCCTGCTTTGTTCTTCCTTCTCAGGATTGCTTTGGCTATTTTAGTGGCTCCATATCAATTTTAGAACTATTTGTTCCAGTTTGTTAAAGAATGCTCTCCGTATTTTGATAGGAATTGCATTGAATCTGTAGATTGCTTTAGGCAGGATGGCCATTTTGACAATATTAATTCTTCCTCACCAAAAGCATGGAATGAATTTCCATTTATTAGTATCCTGCTTAATTTCTCTTAGGAGTATCTTGTAATTTTCAGAGTATAGGTCTTTCACTTTCTTGATTAGGTTTATTCCTAGATATTTTATTCTTTTTGATGCAATTGTGAATGGAATTGTTTTCCTGATTTCTTTTTCTGCTAGTTCATCGTTAGTGTTTAGGAATGCAACAGATTTCTGTGTATTAATTTTGTATCCTGCAACTTTGCTGAATTCAGATATTAGTTCTAGTAGTTTTGGAGTGGATTCTTTAGGGTTTTTTATGTACAATATCATGTTATCTGTAAACAGTGACTTCTTCCTTGCCAATTTGGATGCCTTTTATTTCTTTGTTTTGTCTGATTGCTGTGGCTAGGACTTCCAGTACTATGTTGCATAAAAGTGGGGAGAGTGGGCATCCCTGTCTTGTTCCCGATCTTAGAGGAAAAGCTTTCAGCTTCTCACTGTTAAGTATGATGTTGGCTGTGGGTTTGTCATATAAGGCCTTTATTATGTTGAGGTACTTGCCCTCTATACCCATTTTTATTGAGAGTTTTTATCATGAATGGATGTCGAATTTTGTCGAATGCTTTTTCAGCATCTATGGAGATGATCATGTGGTTTTTGTCCTTTTTTTGTTGATGTGGTGGATGATGTTGATGGATTTTCAAAGGAAGAGCTTTATATATTTTGTTTGCTTCTTGGGCAGCGTAAGTTTTAAGCCTCACAGGTATCAGCTAGCACATAAAACCACTTGAATGATGTTCACATATTTGGATTATATTTGTGGGAGGATAATTGTATAAGAATGTGTTGAGTAGTAACATAGCACAATGTTGCATAATTTCATTTCATTTCTTTGGCTTGTTTGCTAAAATAATCCAGCTTTTAAAAGTGAACTGACAACAAATTGGATGCTGTGAAATTCAATAGATTAAAAAAGACTTAAAAGATATGATGTTATCTAATTGCAGTGTATTGCCCTATAATAAATTATGATTTGAAGAAAACTAAAAAATTATGCAACAGGGAAATTTTAACACAACCTGGATATTGAGCTATATTATATTAATAAATTGTCAATTAATGAGTTCCTGTATGACTAAAATATTTGTGACTAAAATGATTTGATGTTGGGACATGTTTTAAAACAACCTAGGAAGGTGGGGAGAAGGTGAAAGTATAGAAGAAATAAGATTTGCCATGAGTTGACAGTTGTTGAAACTGGGTGATGGAGGAGGATTTGATGCATTTTATTGAGTCCATGTAATCCTGTTTCTTGATTTTAGTGCCATTAATATTTATGATTTTGGAAGAAATATAACTTTGTAAATTTTATCATTTCTTCATCTGTAAGAAGTTGATGTGGATATTGGATTCACCTGTAGATCCTTTTCTGACTTAAAATTTTATAATACTGGAAATAGATGTGTCATCTTATACCTCCTCTTCCTGTCTTTATTGACAACTTTCCATCCCTTTTATCTGTCGTTCCCAGTGTGTTTCCAGTACTGCACCCTTCATCTTATTCTTTACTTGGCTAATAAAGTCTTCAAAATTAGCATTCTTTTCAAGGAGCTCCACATACTGCTTTTCAAAATTCTCCAACGCTTTGATAACCAGGACAGCAGCAACTCTTGTCACATCCTCACTACTGACTTTAGCATCAGAGTACCACCCCAAGCCCAAGGCTGACTGCAAAGGGAGAGGTAGAAACAGTCACCACAGAGCAAGTGGGAATATAGGGCAACAAGTGGCTAATTCTGGAAGAACTAGAGGGGGAAAATGTTTTCAGCTATTTAGGGTATAGAGTTGTATTACGTTTCTTAGGTTATTGGATTTCTGTGTGTGTTTTATTTCAATTTGTTTTTAATCAGTTACACCATCAGAGGTAAAAATGTTTTTATTTAAGCTTTTCTAGTGAATGAAATATAAAACATGACAATGGTCATAAAACCAGTAAGGGTTTTAGAAATTGATTTCTCACTATATATTTTCCCCAGATAAAATTTATCCTCATGTATTTGAAATTTGAGGATTTTGAAAATACTGATCCTTTTATTAGGATATTCATGTATATGGGACTTTGTCCCCTAAATCTTTATCTATAGAGGCTTTCTACTAACAGAAACTTAGTTATTAACCTATATGACACTGTTTTTCATTTTATTTCTAAAACAGTTTCCAAAAGCAATGAAAAATATACCTAAGAATTTTTTTAACAATGGCTTTTCATTTGGTTAATATTGAGGTACACAAATTTTTTGTGTTTCTAAAGATGAGTAAGATAACAGTCTATTTGTCGATTAAAGAAAATTGTATGGTTTTGTTCTGCTGTTTTCTCTCAATTAGTTTGTTAGCTGCCATATTTCAGTTTTTTCAATTGGTAGTTGATCTTATAGATAAATCACCAATATAAAATTATTAAAATGATTAACTCATTTCAAGCCTTCATTTAGGTAAAGAGTGAGAGCTAGGTTGAGCATCAGTTGGTGACAGATCTCAGAAGCTGTTCTTCTAAAGTATCCTTTCTTACACCTTTTAAAGATATTATGTACATCCTTGATCATTCTGTACACTTGAAGGTTTCCTTATCTGTGAACATTCTGTGGTGCATTAGTGATAAATCATTCTTTTGGTGGTGTTATCTGGTCGCAAAGATGAGTCAAAAACAAAGATTGGCCTCAGTTCTTCTTTTGAACTATTCTGCTAGAAAGAAATTTTTTTTAGGTTTTGTTAATGACCATTTTACTGGCAGGCTTGTCTTCAGATACAGCACAGCTATAAAATAAACAGCAAAATTTAATTGTACCTTTTATAGAAAAATTCATTTTTATACTTAAGATTTATAATGAGATGTTGGTATTTTCAAATTTCCAATTCTTTTCACAAATACAATAAAAAAAAATGAGACTCTTAGGGCTTTATCATTACATAAACACAGTTTTTCTCCATTGCAGAGATCTAATACATTACAATTCAGGAAGCTAAATGCAGAGTTATAAGTAAACAGAGAAATGAATATAAAAATAATTTTAGTAAAACCATACAGTTTATAATGTATCCTGCTCCTGATTTTTAAAAAATTCTTCCTGTTATGTTACAAAATACTTCATATTACTTAGAACAAATATATAACTAGTTTCTTTCAGATAAAGCATGTTTATAGATTTAAATCTGCACCCCATTATTCTTGGGAGAAAGTCACATTTTAGATTTATTCTTAAATAAACAATTTTATTTGAAACAAAATTGTTAAGTAAAATTTTGAGCTACTTTTAGAAATTTTTCTTCTCAATAGTGTAATTCAGGAAGTATATTCAGTTAGCTTGAACATTTGGTGTTTGTGTTTATTTTAAAAAGCTCCTGGCCAACACTAATATCAGGGAATAATGAAGTAGCTTTAATTTTACTTGCCTACGATCATCTTAAAAGGTGTAGTCTACAGAAAGAAGAAGAAAAAAGAAATGCAGTTTTTCTGTCTGGGCAAAACAAGATAGTTCCTTTAGTGATAGTCCATGTTAGTAACAATAAAATGTTTTTATGACATAAGGAAAGTAAAACTCTTGTGAAATAGTAATGTTTTATCTACAGTTATGTAATAATCAGATTTAATGTTGCCTTTGTTGTATGAAGTCTCTAAGAAACAAAACTATTCTTTCCACAACATCCTGTACAGTTTACAAAGGAATTATCAGTTCAAAGTGGGCAGAACACCATCCCAGTAGGAATGCACTTAATAAATTTAGTCACTTGGTAAATTTTCTCTACACCGTGTGGTATGCTCAAAATAATAATAAAAATTGTCAGATTGAAATGTAACAATAGTATACAAACATGTCAAGATCTGCTGCCAATACTATGGTTTTACATTTACATTCAAAGAAGAATTTGTCCTGTAAGAAAACAATGCACTATGTCATTGAAAATTTGGATTTTATCCCAGGCAAAATAAAATGGTCAGTAAAGTTTGTATGTATCCATTTCCCCATTTATCAAAGAGCACAGGTAGCTTTTTGGCTTAGAAGAATATACGTTAGAAATCAAAGAACTCTGTTAGGTTATTTAATCTCATACATTTTCACAAACTTTGAGTTACTGTTTTAAAGAAACTCTCATAATCTCCCAGAAAGGAAAAAAAAAAAAAGGTATTCTTATTTGATCAAAACAAATGCTTGCAATTGTTAATATTAAAAATCAAACATTTAATAAAATAAAAAGCCCAAACATGTATTTACACTGGAACATGGATACACATTCACATTAAAAGAACCTTTTGATTAAGAATTATATTTTTCTGGGGAACATTGAGTAGTGCCAAAGGCATTTACATCTGTGACACCATTCACAGAATAAATGTTAGAATGTGTTTAACTGAGAAGTAAGCATACTTGACTACAGAATAATTAGATTGTTTTGCTAATAGAGAACTGTGTTTGTTCTAATACTTAACAAAATACTCATCTCTTCCACAGAATCTCCCTGTTACTCGGATTTTAGACAATCTGATGGAGATGAAGTCAAACCCTGTGAGTGACATATAACATTGCATTTGTAAATTCTTGAAGTATCAAATTGACTCTATAAAAAGGCAGTAAGATCTGAGATTGTTGTGAGCTTAACATGAGGGAAAAGAAAGAGTCCATGTTCTCAAACAGCCTTTTTTAGCCATTACCACAGATAATGGGAATTGGTTTTCTCAGCTGCTATAACCACTCTGGCCAGCTTTCATCCAAATTAAGTGTAGATTATATTCTGTATGAATAATTAAATGTAAAACATATTCTAAGGAGCAAGTTTCTATAAATGAAAAAGAACTAGTAAGCATCAACTGGTATAGTATAAAGAGTCTCACTAAACTAATTTAATGTTACAAAAATTAAATGAGAGCAATGCATAGTGAAATTTTTAAGTGCACATGTTCTGATGGCACAGTTCTTTTGGGCTAAAAGTAAACTGTTGGATGAATAGACAAATGACTAAATATTATTAGCATTTACTTACAGAATGGGTTTTCTAAGCTGTTTAAATTCAAGAAAGGAGTGTAAAAACTCATCATATATGTTTCATAAAACAGCCCATCCTGTTACTGTGGTAACTGGAGGGTGATAATCATCACAAGAATCTGGAGTCAAGAAAGTCACCATGATCCCACCTACAGTAAAACCCTAGTTTGGGCTGATTCTGGACCACTACAGACTTGGCAATCAGACTTAGGATCCCAGGCTAAGAAAGAGAGTCAGAACAGAATCCTCAGATTAGTGTGTCATTTTTTTGTAATTGTTTAAAACAGTTATAACAACATTATTAATAAAGAAGCAAATTTTAAAATCCTCCCATGTGGAAACAAAGATGTAGTATAACAAAACATCCCCCAAAAGGGCAATTACAATAAGGAAAGGAATGAGAGAATTGTTTAGAATGGTAAGCTAAAAACAATTCTTCCTTCTGGGAATCAATGTAGAGAAAGAAGTATGCAATGTCGTGACACTGCATTTTGTAACTACATCCTAGAATAGGAAGAAGGAGCTCTTCCTGAAAAGCCTGAGGAAAGTATACATTTATGACTAATTATCTTTGGAATACTACTTAATAATAGGCAGAAGTTTCAGGAAGGTGTTACTCCAAACAAAAAGATTAAAAATAACAAATAAATGCAAACGTTTAGACAGATGTCAAGTCTGCAAGGGTTTAAAGAAGTTGTAGGATATTTTGTTATTGTCCCTAATCTTGAAGTTGAGATGATGAATAATGACAGTAACAGTGATAATAGCACTGCATACTTATGTACCAGAACCATTCAAAACAATCTTCACATATTTCATTGAATTCTTTAGAACCTTCTAAGAAAAATATTATTTTATTTTTATTTTCATTTTATAGATAAGGAAATTATGGTGCTATAAGTTCAATCACCCAAGGGCACTCAGTTAATAAATGGTAGAGCTGAGCAGGCCACATTTTTCACCACTCTGCTGTATTCATTAGGGCAAGAACCATACACTTCATGGAATCACAGAAGTTTAGAGGTTAAGGGAAGATTAGAAATAATTTTAACAATTTAGGAGAGAAACCAAGAGATGTCTTTTTCCAAGTCCCAGAATTTTTTAGTAGCAGAACTGGAACCTTTGCCTACTCCTGTATTCCTGCCTAGCACTCAACCCAGCACACACGCCTGCCACATTTTTCTGTCATAGACACATTGGTGGCTATGTTATCAGTCTTATTCAGATGGTTCTTATCTAAATTCATTTATCAATTCTATTGACTTTTACTTTACAACTGAAGCACATTACTGCAGATGGATATTTTTAATTAATTAGAACAAGTAAATTTTTTCTGCTCTGAAAATACGTTTCCATCCATCTGCTAGATAAGGCAGCTGCCTGCACTCTCATCCTTCTCCTGTTCCCAGATAGAAAAGTTAATTTGGAGGCATTGAAGTGATCAGCAAAATACTGACGATATTAGCAAAGTGTAGTAAGTTAGACCTGGATATCAAATGCTTTAAAATGCTATAACCTCATATAAACTCATTAAGTTCTTATCACTTAAAATATATTAAGTGTTCTCCTTTGTTTTGTCTTGATTGAAATAAATTGAAAGAAAGTTAAGGCTGTGTCATGTAGGCTACATCTTGTAAATCTGTCAGGTAGTGGTTTCCTGGAGCCAAGTGGTGAGGGTCCACTGAGAATTCTGTGACTGGTTAGCACCGTCCACCACTGAGTATGGGACGCACCAACACGTGTAAGTTTATCATTGATCAGGTGTGGGTAGGGCCACCCACACTCCAGAAAAGAACAAGTTCCTTCAGCTGACTGTGCTGCCATAGGACAGGAAGGCAGAGTTAAGAAGTGATTCCATGGTAAGCAGTAAAGCAACAATTTACAACTCTTTTAATATCAAGAAGCTAGTTTCCAGTTTAGTATAGCAGTCCATTTTCCACACTTCTGAAATACAAAAAGTCCTGGAAACTAGAAGATTCTGTATAACTCATTTGATGGCAAACCTGACCTTCACTCATGCTGAGGTTCTTTATAGTTTATGGTTGTCCTGCTTTATGCTGATGTTCATATATTTACCTGCAGAAACATTACTGTGTTAGATGATGAGGTACCACCCACGGGATATAGTTTATGTGCAATAGTATCTATTTAAACTTTTTAATTGAAAATTCCAAAATACATGAGAGATTGTGAACCTGTAATAATCTGTATATTCAGTAAGATCATGGTCATACAAAGGTAATACAGTTCTAAAAACAAAAATACTTAAGTACATGAGCTTGTAAAGCATATTTTCAAGAAGCAGTATAGCATGGTGGTTCAGAGCTTGGGCATTGAAACTAGATTAACCTGGGTTCAAATCCTGGAGTTCCCATATTTACTTTACTAATAGGAAAGTTCTATAACCTCTCCGTACTCCCGCTTGCCCATCTGAAAAATAGGGATAACAGTATAACTATTTCATAGATGTTATGGAGATTAATTGAGTAATTTCATCAAAAGCACATAAAATTAAGTTTAAGACATAGCAAGTGCCTGGTAAATGGCGGGGGTGATTACACAGTCTACAAAATTAATAGATTCATTAAAATACTCTAAGCCAAACTGTAATTTTCTAAAGAGAAATTCCATAGTCATGGTAAAGTTCTATTTTTTAAATAGGAAACTGATGACTACAGATATTTTGATCCCAAAATGCTGCGGGGCAATGACAGGTAAGCAGCTCTCAACTTGTCTAATTTGCTGTAGGTTCCCCCACCCCACCAAGAATGTAAATAACATAATTGATTTTGTTGCTATAAATTACTGTGTGTTAAGAATTCAAACTATATAGAAAACTGATCAGTAAAACAGTATGTGTAATCTCTCTACCCAGAGATAACGACAGGCAATTGTACTTAACATTTTGGTTCTTTCCCTTCCAAATATATACATGCAAAAAAAAAATCTGGTTTTAGATGTTTGTTGTTTTGTTTTTAATGAAATAATGACAGTATTATAAACTATGTGGGGGAAGGAGATTTGGATAATGTGTGTATTTTTAAGTGAATATTTGTATTGGACCAAATGAAAAGATGGGAATATTCGTATTGGACCAAATGAAAAGTTGTTTAGTTGTTTTTGTTTTTTATTTAACTGGTCCATAAAATCCAAGCCCCTGTGGATTGCTGTGAATACTTTACTGGCAATGAAACATTCTACGTATTTCTATTTTTATGACAAATGTGGAATGGTAAAGTATTTGTTTACTTTATTATGGATAATATTTTTCAAGATTTAATTAATGGTGGTATGAAAAGAGCCTACAAGATGCAGAGGAATAATAGGCAGAATTAGGAAAAAAACCTGTCTTGGAATGGTATTCTCTAGTACCCGCAAATGGGTAAAGCAGGTTTCTTGCCTATCCCTTATGCTTGTGATCTTTTCATCGTCTTTGCTTTATCCCAAGCTTTCAATCTTTGTGGATAGTGAGACCAGATTATTAGATTGTTTTGGTTACTTTAAAGTTACTCCCCTTTTCTAAATTTGCCAGAAATACTGCTGAATTTGCAAAACAGGCTGGTAATAGCAGCTACAGCTGGCAAGAGAGAATTTGACAAAGAATAAATTATAGAGGGGAGAGAATGAGGAATAACAGCTTCTTCTGGGGATGATAAAAGTGTTGTGAAATTAGGGGAGATGATTGTACAACTCTGTAAATACATTAAAAACCACTGATTACACACTTGTAAATGGTAGATTTACAACTCTTTTCTTATCCTGATATTCTCCAGGTTATATTTCTTCCTTCCTTGCATTTGTATATGGCTAACAGATATGTTTTGCTTCTTAGAAACTTGCTGAGAAACTCTTTTAATCCTACCTGTAGTTTTTGTATGATAATGAGGAATATTAGCATTGAGAAGAGGAACTTCTCTTAGAGGAAGTTAAAGCACAGTAGAAGGAAGTCAAACACAGATGGGGTATGTCAGCCAGGTGGGCTTCTAGCCTCTTCTATGGAATATTCAGACAGGCCATAGAAATGAGTAAAAGGTGATAGATCTAAGGATGCAGTCGCTGAATAATTAAGGAGATTTCCTCTTGGTTAAGATTTTCAAAAATTACTTGTGAGGAAAACCTCGACTGTCATTGTATATCGCCTGTTTTAGCACTCAAAACAAATACATATCTGACTCAAAAACTTGAAAAGTCTTTATTAAAAGATCTCTTAGCAATGAAGTATTTTTAACGTAAATATATAAAATGTAAAGAAATAAGCTACAGTAAAATGCAGATCCCTCCTTTCCTTCCTAAATTGTTATCCTTCCCATACATGTTGATATAGTAATATGATGCACAATTTACCACTAAAATATATACCCAGATTTCTTCCCCTAATAGGAGCTACTGCTCAAGCTTTTCTTCTCCCTTTCAGTCTTTTCCTAGAATTTTGTTTTGAAGTCAACAGGTTTCCCCATTCCCTTTTAGTCTCTGACACATGTACCTCTTCTAGCTTTTTCCTCTGCATTCCTGTTCCTTACCTAGCAACACAAAACTAAAGGACCCACCCTCGAAGAAGGTGAAGGAGGAAGAATTGTAGATATATGTCTAATAGTGTGTGTTTATATTCCCTGTGCATATTTTATCCATAAGCCTTGAAATTTTCAGTATCATTTTTTTTTGTTACAGCTCAGTTCCAAGGAACAAAAATCCATTCCAAGAGGTAAGTTTCATATAAAAATTCTCTGCCCCTACTAAGGAAGGATGAAAAAGTGACCAAGCAGTCATGAAGCATATCTTTGTCCTAAACATGGCATTATTATGATTTACTGCATGGCAGCAATCTTGATGAATCCAGTTCTGTGCACCCAAGATTCCTTAAAAAAATCTTAGCAACTATGTTTTCCTGATTTATAAAGCTGCTTACACTTAGGAAATTTATGAAAATAATTGATACTAGATAAATTCACAGAAAAAGAAGTCTTTAACATTGTGGTGAAAATTTTATACACATGGAACTTTTTTCCAAAAAGTTTGTATCTCAAACTTTTATAAAGGTATTGTAACTGTATTTGCATTTGAAACACAAAGAAGCTTCTCAATAAAAATATATCCAGTAAAGGACATATACTGGAAATTATATAAGTGCTAAGTTTTCTGTTTTTCCAGCCTATATAAATAACCTTGAATTCAAAAATGTCTTTTGGAGAGCCCTTTAGATTAATTTGCTATTAATTGAAGAGTGAGGAATATTTTCCTCTGAATTGTTTCTGACAGATATTTTAACACTCAGAAATTTAGAAATTTATAGGCATTTTAGAAATGAACTTCTTTATAATTGAAGTAGATTGTACACTTAGGATGTGATCTCATGCTAATATTTTTTTTACCTAAGTTGGGGAATATGCTCCAAACTAAAAATCACATTGCTTAAAATTAGAAATATTATTTAAACTATTTCTTTCAACTTTCCTATTTTTTTTTTTCTGTTTTCATTTTTAGGCAATTGTTTTTGTGGTAGGAGGAGGTAACTACATTGAGTATCAAAATCTCACTGACTACATAAAGGTACATGTTGGCCTTTTTATCATTTGATGTTTTATGGTTGTTCTGTCTTTAGAATACTAGCATTTTCTGTTGCCTCTACTTCTAGAGGTATATAAGGAATCAAGAATTTATAATCCCACATAAAAGGAAAAATGCTCTTACGTTCATTGCTTTCCTATTCCTAGTACATTCATTTCTGGGAAATAATGGATCTTATTGATGTAATGTACTTTGCAGCTATCTAAATTTGACTTTGAATGTTTTCAGACCTCAGTTAAGTTCCTCTTCCAAAAAATTCCCTCTTGGTGAAATGATTTACCAAACCCATTTACCTGAATAAAAAGCAATTTCCTCCCATGGTTTTGACTTAAGTTAGCAACACACTTCTAACAAATTTGGAATGTCTTTTCAGCAAACCAGGACCATTAGAGGTAGCAAAGTAGAAGTGGAGTGCTCTTCAGAGCAGCAGGGAGTGACAGACAACTAAGCAAACAGCTATGAAGGAAAGGGTATAAATTGAAGAGCAAAAATGCCATTTAAATGTAGAGGTAACAGAACTAGCAATTGTTAGGATGACATTTTATAAAAGGCTTTATTTAATAAAGGTAGAGATTTGGGTACAGCAAAAGAAAAAACAACACAGACAGATTTCACATCACTTCAAAACTACCAGGCATGACTCCCAGAATCCTGGCTCTGTTGCATAGGATATGCTTTATCTACGGACCATGAACCACTAAGATCTGTGTCAAGGAAGTATCAGTCTTGTATAAGAAAGGGTCTTTTATACCCGTTTGTAGTCATACAGCCAGAATCAGGCTACATGACCATGTTCATTGCTTTCCTATTCCTAGTACATTCATTTCTGGGAAATAATGGATCTTATTGATGTAATGTACTTTGCAGCTATCTAAATTTGACTTTAGCAGAAACCAGGTGCAAACTGTCAGTTTGTACAATTTCTATAACTTGACGAGCTGGTACAAGTTGTCCCCTGGTCTGTGTGTGCCCCTTGCACAGGACTGACTATATTAATCACTCGTTGGTATGTTTCATTCAGGTCTGACCAAGGGTCAACACTACAGTTCCATGTGTTCCCAGGGACACAGGTTGCAGAAGACCTTCTGAAATTAATCCTGTACATTCCACAGAACCCCATCCTTGGTTAAGCTTTCTTAATTATACTTGACAGCATTCTTGTTTTGTTTTATAAAACAAAAAACAAGGATAAACACCAAAATACTAATCATTTGTGTAGTATAGGACCAAAGTGCAGGTATAATTTTAAAGGAACATTGCAGTTTACCAAATATTCCAGTTCACACTTGTTTATAATTATGCGTAAGCTTCACAACTCTTAACTCTACCAAAGAAATCTTAATTTTGTGAAATTCATTAATGGAAGTGTGGCAGATAATTCATTATTACCTAAATCTAGTCCTTTCTCTGATCAGTCACTTCCATCAGAAGAACATCAGGACTTATCAGTGGTAGGTATGTAAGCCTGCCAAGCTATCTTTTTATCTGGTTTGAGTTTATAAAGTATTTTTTTTATCTTAATGTTTTCCACCCACAAAAAGATGGTGTATAGGTAGTAGGGCACATGATACTATGACTAGTCAAGACATGCAACAGATATTTTATGTCCCTGTATCCAGGTACCTTTCTTAACAGATCATCACTTTCAGGTTAATAGCTACATAGTGGTCTTTGGCTCTGTTCTTGAGCAAATTCTTCTGTATGCATTTCAGCAGACCTGTAAAATGAGAACATTGAAAAGAAAAGCATTAGAATTATTCTAAGTGCTTATCCCCTACATGTTATTAGCATCATCAAGACATAACACATGAATAACTGCAGATTAAATCCTCCTTAAGCCTCTTGGGGGCCCATCTTAGATCTTCACCTTCAAATAAAGGAGGTGATTTCTACAGACCTATGGGCATCTGTAAATATAGCTAAGAGTATCATTCTCTTGCTGTCAGCCTCTTACAAGGTACTGGTATAATGTTAGCTTTCTTTTTTTTTAATTATTCATTTGTATTGGCTTTCTTTTTGAGAGTTAATGACAAGTACAAAGAAGTAGTCTTAATTTTTACCCAGAGCTTGACCCCCGATTAGGAAGCTGTCAGATGCAGCCAGACAACTGATCCCTAGCACTGGCAGCAATATGAGACTGGCCGGTGCTTTGCCCTTTGTCCATCCCAACCATCTGAGGTAGAGCTAGTAAGTAAGGGCAAGCTTATGGTACTGTCTTGTCCACTGGTTAGGAAAGATTCAGAAACAGTCAATCTGAGTTTAGACAGGTGAAAAGGAACAGCCAGTTCCATCATTCTCAGAGTTACATTTGGAAGTGATTGGCTAGAAAATGAACTAGATTTAGTTAATAATTAGTAGTTACGTTGAATCATGGTATTGGTACATTTCATAAAGTTCAGTTTTTAATGGTGAAAGTATCAAGTTAATACATAAGTAAGAATGAATTTGCACTGGAATATTAGTATACTACAATGTTAACAAACCTATACCTCACTGGATGATGTAAAAGATACAAAAAGGGTAATGAGTGATTAGAAATAGGAAAACTTGATGAAGGGTGGGGAAGGGATGGGGGGTATGGACTGCATAAGTACAAGACTAATCTCAACTAGTTTATTTCAACCCTATGCTTATCTCTGGGAACACTGGGCGCCATAGTGATTAACATAGTCCAAGACAGACCAGGAGGCAACTTGCCCTAGCTTGTCAGCTTTGCCTAATAGAAAATCTAAATATTGAAGGTTTGCACCTGGTCTCTGTCATGTTTTCCTGTTTCTGCTGTTAAGCCTTGGTCATGCAGCCTGATTTTAGCTATGTGATCTGGAAGCTATAAAAGACCCCTCCTTGGACAGTACTGGGGCTTCGCTGAGACCAAGATATCGTTTTGGGAGTTAACAACTGAAAATGACATGTGTCCTGTGCTACTGAGATGGGATCCTGGGAGCTGTGCCTAGCTTTGCACCCCTCTAATGTTTCCCTATGCTTTAACCTTCTGTGCTGTGACCTCTATCTTTATTAATGCCTTATATAAGTATATTGTATGTAGCTTCAAGAATCCCAATTATGTAACCTTCTTAATTGCTGCACATCTCATTTTGAAAGAAGGTGAGGTCAGACTCCAAGAAGGGCTAGCAGTTACCAAAGAGAAGGGGATTAAGGGGCATTATTAGCACACATAATGTAGGGGTATAACGGGGAAGGCAGTATAGCACAGAGAAGACAAGTAGTGACTCCATAACATCTTACTATGCTGATGGACAGTGACTGCAGTGAGGTGGGGGGGCGGGTCTTGATAATATAGGTGAATGTTGTAATCACAGTGTTGCTCATGTGAAACCTTCGTAAGATTGTAAATCAATGGTACCTTAATAAAAAAAAAGGATAAGGTGTGAATATTGTTTTCTTTGTTCTCCGAGATGGCCAGCTAGAACATATATTTAGCCAGCAATGTGTATTCAGCAAAATGTCCTTCTCTAATATTACAAAGCCATAATTCTTTTGATAAATCATATTTGTTTTGTCATGGAATAAACTTTTTATATTACAAAAGAAATCTTACAAATTTACCTTCAAGTTCATAATTACATGTTTAAAGACTTAGCAGTAAGTCTCCTGTAGAAAAGTCTTGATTGCGGTAATTGGGTTCCAACATTTGCCAAAAAGGAATGAAATTCATAAAGAGTTAGAAAATGGAATGGAGTATATTAACATGTAAATGTATTACACAAATGAGACAAATGACAATCTATACTACTTGCAACATATCCTGTATAATAAAACTCTTAAGAGAATGTTTTCTTCAAGTAGTACAGATCCTACAGAATCCTACAAGATCCTACAAGAATGTTGGCCAAAGAATTTATAGATAATTGTTGCTTCTGTGAAACTTATCAGATTCCTTCTGTTTTCAGGATAAATAGCACCATACTACATTAAAAAATGAAAATAGTGCACCCATTTTACCACTTTATTCCATGCAATTTTATTATAGATGTATATACTAAAATTCAGCAGCCCCCCCTAAAAAAACTAATTATAGAAGGCCTTATTAGGTTTAATCCCTCTTCTTGGGAATATTGAAAATATTACTTGTTTGCTTTGTTGTAATCTGAGTTCTGTCTGATTTTTACAGGGGAAACAAGGCAAACACATTTTATATGGCTGCAGTGAGCTTTTTAATGCTACACAGTTCATAAAACAGGTAAATTGTACCTTTTTCATTTATTTCTGTTAACATACCCTAAGTTTCTGTTGATATTTTGCAAAGAGAGCAAGAGAATCATTATATTCATCTGAACTGGCTGAAATCAGAAGCCGCAGAGCTTATAAGAATGTAAGGCTTTGTCGTGAATAACTATAAAGAAAACTCTGATAAGTAATATTTTCATTATCCCAAATCTATGAATAAAGATAAATTCAGAAAATCTTAAATTGATAGTGCTCAATTGGGCAAAATTCATTTTAGCATTTCCTTATATACTGTCCATGTTTCTGACTTTGCCAAGCATATCACAACTTGGGCTGAGATACTAACTTTCTTGGGGGATGGCACCTACTCAGTGGGTAAGTGGAATGGCATTCATGGTGAAAGTTAACAGCAGCAGTCTGTGCATTCTTTTGGGTTGTTCCTGCTAATGTTCTCAGGAACTGCATTAACTTTGGTTTTTTAAGCTTGAACTACCTGTGATGCTAAGTAGGCCAACCAAGTGTCCACTTACTTTTGTCTTGGTTGCCATAAAAATTGTAACTAATTTTTAGCAATTGTTCCTAGCACCGTTTCCCAGCACAAGTTTCTTAACCCCATTATATGGTTCTTATATTTTAACCTTAATGTAGTAGTTCAGTGATACTATGAGAATACAGAAGATCTGAAAAGAATTTGTAGTGAACACATGTATATTCCCCATTAACATTTTTCTCTACTTGTTTCATCAGATACCAACCCATTCTTAAATTCTTTGTTCTGTTCATTGTTCCCACTTACTATATTAATTTCAAAATAAGGGTAAATTATACCGATATCTACGAATTTAAGTGCCAGTATCGTTAACTAGACTTATTTGTTTTGTTTTACCCTTTGAAGGTAAAATCTGCAATAATAGTGAAATATTTGTCGGTTTTCTGGATGTATTATTCTGATTTCCCTTGTCATAGAACATTCTCCAAGTTCACTGTTTCAAAATTTATTTAAATTCCTTGTATGGCCAAAAATATGATTTATCTTGCTAAACACTTCATGTGCACTTAAAAAAAGAACATGTATTATGCAGAAGTTGAGGGAAGGTTTCTATAAATAAGTTTGGTCAAGGTAGTTGATAACATTACTTAGATCCTCTTGTCTTCATTGACTGGGGGGAGGGGAAGATGTGCCATCTCATTCTATCAGATACTGAAAATCTCCAACTGATTGTAGAATTCTCT